GACTGCTGAGGGTTCAGCCTCCTGATGAGTCGGTGAAACACCGCCGAAACAGTTTGTCACAGCCGCCCCTCGTTTGTTGTCCTCTTCTCCCTCTTGTCCCTCTCTGCCTACTACGGTTTACCGTCGGCAGCTCTGCTTGACGATATATTAGCAATTTAGCAATGATGAACTTGCCAATTTTGATTCAGGCTTGTTGATTTATTTTATTTATTATTTTTTTAAAAGAAAGAACACCAGCGACGGGGGTTGGGGCCGGATCGGTTGGGTGTTTGATCATCCAGATGGTGCTCAATCTGTCTCCAGTCTCTTTTTGGCACATCGTAACATTTGGTGGTGATGCAGGACGTATTGATTGGCCTACCGTCTTCACCTGAATAGAACACCCTGTCATTATCATCGTATCTAGACTGAAAGTCGGCCCAAATACAGCTGTAATGACCGGGTGACGGCCGTTTTACTCGGGTGAAGATCGACCTCTCACTGTACTCGTTGAACTCCGAAATGAAAAAAACTTTTTGTTGGATATTAGATGACAATAAAAGAACTTACGAATTGAATGTAAATTATTTGTTATTGGAAAAAAAAAAAAAAAACCCTACAGAGTGGCCTTGTCGTCACGATCTGTTGAGATTCGAGTCATTTGACCCTTTGTTCCAAAACTGTAGACTTGCCATTATCCGTAGAAGCTCCTCCAGAAGCGCTCAAGTCTGTTGCCCTGAGACTTGTTGCTCAGGACTCTTTCTTTTTTTTTTTTCTTTTTTTTCCTGTGCTGTCCTTTGGGAGTTGTAGCAAAAAGGCGTCGTGTTTCAGGGCAGCGGTCTCGTTTTGGCCATTCTGCTTCTAGACCCCAGTGTCCCAAGGCCTGCACCAAAGCTGGGTAAGGGTCCCAGTATCAAATTTTACTTTCTTTGTTTTCCGGGTTGTATTGTTGAGGAATTCCCGGCCTCTTCCTTTTTGGTGTGGTAATAAGAAAGAGCAGAGGTGCTTTGGGAAAAAAAAAAAAAAAAAAAAAAAAAAAAAAAAAAAAAAAAAAAAAAAAAGGCGTTGTGTGTCTGTAAAGCCTCAGTATGTTCCAGATGGCAGATAACAGTGCATAGTACCACATGTAGAAGGTCTTTTTTTTTTTTCTTTTTTTTTTTTGGGTGATAAGATAGGGCGCCTTATGGTCCTGCCTCCATGCATGTAATAGTCAATATTAATTATTATGTTCTAGAACTTCTAGTGGCCTTCTGTAAGGTAATATGGTGAGTTCCAATTTGCAACGAATTGATGAGGTGGCAATACAAGCTCACTCGAGCAATGTACATGGAGCCAAGGACTCGCAAAGTGATGAAAAGGACTCGGGTGGACAATGCAGGGTCAGCAAAGCATCAACAAGCAACATATATCCAGATACATATGAAAATAGCACAATGTAGCGCAGCGGAAGACTCAAAGATATGACCTGACCTGTCAGATACCGGCGCAACAACCCCATCATACACCACACATGTGAGAGAGTGAGGAGGGACCGCATACATAGAAGAAAGGTCCCTCCTTGATCACGCACATGGGGAGATATCACGGATGAGGAGATGCGGGGGAGAGGCGAGACAAAGATGGAGGTGAGGGAGAAGACCAAGATTGCCATAGCGAAGTCCACAAATAGTCTCCTTGCCGAATGTCCAACCAATGTCTGCCACAAAATGTCGAATCAGATCCTGGGCCTCATGGCCCGATGCAACCTCTGCCTGTAACCCCTCTCTCTCTCTCTCTCTCTCTCTCTCTCTCTCTCTCTCTCTCTCTCTCTCTCTCTCT